GGAGCACCATATGGTTGAATCCGCAGTTGATTCAGCCTTTTGCCACCGCACTTTTGCATAACCTACTTAATGAAGCGCGCTAAAATGGTGGCGGGGTATAATAGAGAGCGTTGCTATTGTCTCTGCTAGTGCCAAATTTTTCGACGACCTGCCAATCAGCCATCACTTTGATATCACTCGACCGAACTTCAGGAATAAATCTGTTGAGTTTTCATATATCTACTAGTAAGATGAAAGCACTGAGCAGAAAAAAAATGAAATTCTTGGATCAGACGACGATATATAACGCTAACTATGGGCCGTCAATAATAACAAAGCCAAAATATGTCATAAGTAAGACATATTAATACGACAACAAACGAGCAAATGTGATGGCAGTGTTCAACAAATTACATACACAGAGAAATTCTCGAGCATTAATCTATGTTCAAATTTATTCACCGTTGAATGTTTCGGTACTCTAATAGAATTTCGGTAGAAGTAGAAAAACGAGTGATGTGACACTTCGTTGTTGATGAACGTGACAGCTGAGAGTGCAAACTAGAATCGATCAAGATAAGAAATGACTGAGGAAAGTGATCGAGCAAGATATCACTCACTAGACTTATGNGCAGCATGCAAAATGAGGTTAACATGTTAACATGCCAGCTGCACAACAGCAATTTACAACGACGGGTCAGCGTGCAAATGGGTTGACCTTCAACGAGAATACAATTCATGAAGTGTGATGAAACGTGCGCAGTAACTTGATGGCACAACAAATGCAGATTCGACATGGAAATGGTTATTTGAAAGAAATAAGGAAGAAGTGATCGATCGCATCAGAAGTACAGCAACTCAGAATGAGGCAAATGACGCAATGGGACAACAACACTCATGTTGCAATGCAACAATGAACAAAATTAATACTCATAGTGAAGTTTTACAGTTACATATGGTGAATATTTGAAGTAATTTGATTGCTCGAAAAAACATTGATAGGCAACTGAGAATTTTGCTGTCATCTTAAAATGACCGAATAACTACGAGATATCTGTCGCGAGTGTTCATTGGTAGCATTTGCGCTGGAAGAAAACACAGCAGAATTGCACGTCCATGAAGCCAGCAATAAATTAGCGATCAGTATGAAGTTCGCTACTCGAACATCTATGGCCGAAGTTATGATTTGTTTTTGGTTTGAGCTTCACAAGAAGCGTAACTTTGAGTCACAGAACTGCGCGGATACAAACTTCACACCTCACAATGCACAACAGTTGGACAAGAAGTATGATGTCTTCTGACTGGAAGACGCTTCTTCAGATGATTTCGAAGAGGATCGTGTTTTATTTTCTCATTCAACCACTCATGCGTGGAGGACATTTTGAAATGAAATTCGCGTTCAAACGTTGAAAATCTGGTTTGAACGGAACCTAATTTTTCAATTACGGAAAACCAGATAAAATACAGTTTTGTGGAATTCAAAATCAGCAAGCAAACAACATTCATATAGCTGATTTAATACTGAGTTTCATTTATTTTTCGAAACTAAATAACTACGTAACTAAATGAACTGATTTAAAAACGCAACTACCAATAAGTGAACTATTCTAAAACTAAAAGTATCAATTCCTATTCGAATTAGAATGAAATCTTATTTCATTTCAAATGAAAACTTTGTCGAAAGCAAAGCAAAAAAAGCAAAAACTAAAATGAAGAATAAAGCCAAAAAATGAAGCAAAAAATAAAAACTTAGGAAATTTCAAAACTGAAAGTCGCTAAAAATTACGATAAATCAAGCACATCCAGAGTATACCTTATCTAAACAGTTTACTGTTCTGCAGTAATTCTCTTACTGCAAAGAAGTGCGATGTTTGTGTTATTTCATGCGAGAACAAAGTGAGCGAGAAAACGCTGACAGATTAGGTTGTGGAAATGGAACGGGATCTGGGAAAATCGTTGACGCACTCGTGATCAACGATAAAATTACACATTTATAGCTTGTGAGTTCATTGTCAGATGAACATTCGTTATTGTTTTTGGAGACGAGTGGTTGCCATTCGAACAGTTCGACGCATCACATCAAACGACCACTGATAACATGAACATATAAACGAGCTGATGGACAATGAACAATGCAAGATTTATGAGATGTCACCAAGTTCAGACAGCGAAAAGATGAGTACGAAGTATCCATAGTGATTATTAAAAGAAACGAAGTGATCAATGCACATGTTTACGGATGCGATTATGCAGAAATACTGTTGTAAATTATTTAGTTGTGAATGATTTAATTTCGGTCGATTAATGGTTAGTTCTAAATTGAATGAATGGCCCATATCGATGGGACGCGTGCCGCACCGAAGTTGGTACGAAAGGCGCTGATATCTGAATGCACTCGTGCATCCTTCATTCACCCACTTCAATTACAACCCTATTGAAGTGCACTTTTTTAATTGACGATGATTTTTTGCATGACCTATTCCAGTAGTTAAATGCAAACATTTCATTAATTTATTTTCAGCGAAACTGGTCAGTTTAGAAAAAAANTGGACACTAACAAAAAGTCACTTTTGAATTTTTGATCCAAAGTTGCTTCACGAAATACCGTTGAGAAAAAATAGTGGGGTATAAAATTCGCATCGTTTTCATGAGAGCAAACACTGCTCAAGGGCAAATATGTGAGCGAATGATTTATTCTGATTTATTGACGAGGAATTTTGCTCCACTTATTTGCGACTACAGTCTCAGCGAGTCGAAATGAAGAAAAATGCTACGTGATTTGAATGAGCATTCCAAGAATCAAAGTTTCTGATCGGATAGAAGTAAAACTGGAAAAAATGAAGAATGTTTTGAATGCGGCACCCAGTTTTGGACGTCGAAAAAATGATGCGCTGAAGGTGGTTGGATGTGTTCAGCGACAAACGATCGCTGCATCAAAATAAACTGGATTGTTGTTAGTTGATGCGTTGAAGTCTTTGAAAAGTTCAAAAGATGGGAATTGCGTGTAAATGAATGTTTTCGAAGGAAAAGGTCTGCATGTGATCGCACGGTCTGCACACCTGGCGTTATGATATTAGTAGGTGACCTTGAATTTGTTGAGTACTACTCAGTGTACACAAACACAACCATCTATCCCATTTGACATAGTTAACTGCGCTTGTTTTGAGAGGAATCCGTAGTGAAAAACGATGGATACTTTTAAAAAGAATTACAACCTAGTTGTGTGCGAATAAAGTTTGGTCTGCGAGATATGCAGCGAAAGAATTAAAGGCAAAGTTCTAGCACACTCTTTTAACATTGTACCGTTTTTCGTCTTACTAATTGTAAGGTTTTTCATCGATGCAATACTTCTTTAGTGTGTGGTGGCAGCGTTGGTGGACACAAGAATGGTGTTTGAAGTACGTTAACAAATTTGATCGAAAATGATTGTTTACCCTTCTGATCGTTCAACAAATAGTCTCCTCACTTTTCTTCCTTCCCACACCTACAATTTTCCGGCTCTGCTTCAAAATTTTGTAAGCAATTCAAACAAATTACTGAAACGGAACGCTTCAACCACTCCTGTTCAGTTCTTTTATTCTTCACTTTTCGTAAATTTTTGTGTTCTGCTATTGTGTGACAGATATTTTCGACAAGCAATACGTGATTTATTTCCTCTTACTACCACAAAATTTGACTGTGCAAAATGCGCTTGCTATCCAGTCGTGTGGTAATGGCCACGTATTCCAAGTAATGCTGATCTCAGTAAAGCAGGCTCCGCAGTATTCATGATTTGCAATTGGCTAGATATTGAAGAGTGAGTTCTCGCGACCCGTCAAAATAGCAGAAATTATTAATGAAAGTAAAATCAAAAGGACTCTTGAATACACTACACACTGCAACAATAGACATTTTTTATGCGAGTTATTTTTGATGGCTATTCATTTTATAGCCGACTGTAATTGGGACCGCGTTAGAAATAGCGGAGCCGTGAGGTGAGCGCTTTTGTTCCGCGAGGAATCCTATTGACGCTATTAGCAGGTTCGTATTTCGCCGGCAACGCTTTTATCCAATACTTTCTTTTGAAAGCGAATGATTTCTGCAAGAAGCAAAGCAAATATATTTTACGCTATGTCAGTTAATAAAGAAATATTTGTCCGTATATGAACTAAAGTATTAAGCTGCAATAGAGAAGAATAAACTATTCTTCAGCATTTGAGCTGTAGCAGATCAACAGTGTCACGCTGTAGTTTGCAAGGTAGGCATTTTGTTCTCGAAATCAGTCTGCCGACGGATCATAAGCTTTTCCAAAATATTGCATGAACTTGAAATGGAGCATGAACTCAGCTATCAGGAAGGAGTATACATTATCGATCAAGGGTATCACTAACAAAAGCTCAACCCTATGCAGTTACATTCATGATCCGAAACACTGATTTAGGCTGATCTCCTCACTGTAATCATCATATGCCTACGAGCTTGTTTTGGTGCCTTACGTTCACTTTATTGTCAAGTATCAACTCCATCAACAAGACTTCATTGCTGCTTCGATAAACTTTAACTTCTGCTATCAGAATAGCACACAGACATATTCTGAAGCATCCAACAATTGTTTATCCACTAATGATCCAGAACAAAAAGAACGGTCCTAAAACCGCGTATGGCAGGGAATCAGCATCTGGCAGAGTTTAGAAGATGATCTAGTCAAATTTTGAGCATTGTTGGGACTCGATGAAACAAACAGAATATTCCACGAATCCTTTAAGAACGTGGCATTCATTGTTAGAGAAATGTAAGTTGGTTCTAACGTAAATCCCTTCTTCGGACAGTAATCATTGGCTCGCTCAAAGAAAATATTTGATCTCATTATCAGAAAACACTTGGAGTTTTACTGTTGCTGAAGGATTCACGCAGTGCGCATAGATGAGCATCGGTAAGCGCACTTGCATGAGCAGCGTGAAGTGATGTCATTTGCTCATAACAACCACTCAAATGGTGAATTCTCAGGCATAAAAAGGGATGATTCTTGGATTGATTCTTGTTTAGAAGAGCGCAACGAACCCTTCGCATGTGTATATCCCATAATGCAATCCGGATGATTTATCACCACAAATAGCACAAAGTAACGGATCGTCATCCAGGTAGTCCGTCATCATTGCTGACGTTAGTTCACTTGATCGATTTCCGCTTGAGCGGTTGCTCCATGAGTAAGGTGGCTCTGAGGCAGCTGCAAGTTTTCAAGTAAGGTTTCCGAATAAAAGCCTTATTCTCCTATNTTGTTTTATTATTGGACAACAAGAGGGCCTGGTACATTTCTTCTGAAGTAACTTTCTCACGTCAATGACCCTGATTCCAACATTTAAAAACGATTGAATGGTAAATAAATCATTCTCTCTAGAACTCAGTATAGACCTAAACAAAACAAGTTATCAGTTGTGGATTCGCTGCCTGCTGAACGAAAGATTCGATGCAATGGAATCATATATTGAGTGATTGAGCTTCGTTATGCGATAACATTTCTACGGTCTATCGCCTGTATGATAGAAAAAGATGAGAAAATTGATTGCATAATAATTGAGCATTTAACCTGATGGGAGTGAAGGACTACTTAGATTTGAATTCGAAATAACGTTTTGCTCGGTACTGTAATGACTTAACCATGACATCTTCCCTGAGCTTCTTTGTGAGCCAGGACGTTTGGGCGATCGACTTGATCTTGATGTCAGCGAGCTTGTTGTCTCACTGCTCTGGGGAGAATCTGGGCTAAAAATCACAAAAAAAAGTTTAGTTTCATCACAGACAAACAATCTGAATCGATCAGGCCTAAATGCTGAGTTCAATTCATTGATGAAACTGCCACTGGAATATACAACAGTAGATACTTGTTGTTTTCTGTGTGGTGTTCCCGTACTGCATTATTAAAGCTGGGAAAAGTCCTCCGCCTATTGCAAACAAAATGCGATACTTTTTGAATTATCCAAGCTGCGGTTTTTTTGGAGCTCAATAGCGACAATTACTGATAAAAGTGGTCACATTTTTCATGTTCATGCTTTTTTGCACGACTTTCATGTGTTCTTAATATGAAGTCGACGATTATTTGCCTTGCAAAACAATTCATTGCGATCACTTCTTTCACGATCTCTTTAAATCAGCTCAATTGGAATGCTCTTTCTTTTTGCTACGCAAAAAACTTGGTGAAGACATTATGTTTGCTGCAATGCAACAATCAATTTCTTCACATTGCAGCTGACCAATTTCACGATTATTTCAATTCACCCTTTCAACCAACATTATTCGATTACGCCTCTAAAATGAACCCTTTCGATGTTGAAGTGATTTTTTCGAAGGTATTATCTTTCAAGGTATTATGCAGATATTATCTTTCAGCTATTTTACGACTAAGCACAACTGCAGCCTCGTTGCGAATAATTACCTACGGATTCTATATGAAGAATTCAAGATTGCCTCTGGTGCGAACTTACAAATATCAGGGAATGATTATGTAACAATACATGGCCCTGTCATATTTCATCCGATTCAAACAAATTCTTGAGAATGTGCGATTATAATACCATTTCATGCACTTGAATTCAACATGGTCAAAAAGTTGCGTAAAAACTCTATTTCAAACCCCTCAAATATGAAAAATGTCACGAAGGGAACGATTTTTCTTCACAGAGCCACCAATAAATGAAGAATGCTTATCGTACTGTCAAAATAGCGTAAGATTTTGAAGGTCACCAAAGTGCATCATTTCAAGATAGCATATTGAAAAGAAATTAAACTCTCTACGCAACGAAAATTCCCGTTCCATTCAATGTCATATTTGAACATCACAAATATGTGTATTACTACGTTGATTAGCAGCAATTTGCAAAATATATCAATTCTGAAATTTGCAACTGCCTGTTGCTTCACAATGACAATTCTCCTTCACTAATAGTTACGCCGGAACACCCAAAAAATTGCATTAATTCGCGATGTACTTTTCATCAAAACTGAGCCTGTCTTATCTTCACAACAATTATTTCTATTCATCTCTGGAAACAAGGTGGGCATTGGAAAAAAGAAGAATTTGAGCAGAAAAATACATCCGATGCAAATCGAACACTCAAAATTGAATTGAAACATAATCGTGAAGCTATATTTCACACCTGCACGCTTCCTTACGCCCAATTTTTGACGACTCATCCCATTGCTTAGCTGGCATTGAAGTTGTGGAAGTGATCACAGAAGTTGGATGGATTGGTTGAGGATGAGGTAATGCACTTGTTCGTGATACATGAGTCAGTTGCTGCAGATCCAAACTTTGACTTACTTGACTCAAATAGAAGCTGTACAAAGCAATTGGATCGGGGTGTGGGAAGGGCCTGAAACAGTTCTATTTAAAGCAACGCAAATTGAAATATGGAACAAAAAAATTGCGAA